TTTTTCGAAACAAGTCGCAGCCTTTCTTATCAGATTGTTTCTTTCAATACTGGCATACAACTACATAAATTTTACAGATAATAAAATTATGCCCCAAGACCATTCATGGTAATTAAACAAACTGCAAATCACACCCACCCACACGAAGTCACAATCAACGGTTAAATCATCAATTCTAATGAGAATGCAGTAGCGAAGTAAAGCACTGCGGTTTTACATAATTTCTGAGTAAGCTATTTGTACGAATTGAATAATTCTGCATTTAAATTGTATTTCAAATTAAGATTTAACTTGAAATTAATGTAGATAATTACTGAGAGAATTAGATTTTGTAGCGTAGTTTACACGTGAGATGAGATCACGTGGTGTTACGTGATATGAACCGGCAAATCAGGATGTTGAACCATGAAAACATAGTAAATTCTTAATGTCTTTTAACAAATTTATTATCTTATTTATTGGCTTTTACAAAATTTTAAAGATATTAAAATGTTTTGCCTTCAAAATAAAAAATTCTTAAAACTAACGTCTGTAACATTTTTATTTGTATATTGTATGTTGTCGTCAACAAAGTCGCTTGGCGAGATTGCGCCAGTGAAACTGAAAAGTACCTCAGAAACCAAACATAAAAGATTAAGTAAATAAATTGAAGAATTTTTTTTAAAGAATGAGCTGAGAGCATTTAAAATTAAAATGTTTTTTGAAAAAATATACAACAGTCTGAGAAGGTTTACAGCATCCTTAAAAGTTTCATATTTAATTGCAAAATTTTAAAACCTCATACATTGGAGAATCGCTCATTTTCCTTCAGCAATTAAAATGACATCATTTATGCATTAAAAATATAGTAACGATTTAAAAAATAGCATTAAAGATACTGTTTCTCACAAATTTTATCATATCAGACACTAGGGACATCCAGTCTTTACTATAAACTTGATGAAAATACCGACAGTACTAAAATGTTTCAATTTATTGTTTATGTGAGATATGTTTTTGAAAACAACGCAGTAGAATATTTTTATGTTGTAATATTTGGGAGGAAAGCAACTGGAGAGAAAATATTTGAAATTATTATCAGACATTTGAAACAAATACCTAGACACACTGTGTCACAGTTTGTACAATGTAAGCTTTTAAAAATAAGCCAATACTTTGCAAGGAGCTTGAATGAAAAAAAAAAAGAAACATGCTTTTCCACAATTTACTAAAGAAAATACAGATTTCTGTTTAAAAACGACATATGATAATTGACAGAATTTTTTGAAAAATTCCAAATAAGGATTAGGTTGGATCTGTGACTCATTTTGCCTTTGGTTTTCAATTCCAATGTATCTCTAAATGAAAAAGAACATAATTGATATTTAAGTGACGGAATACTGTGTTTAAGGTCTCTAACTTGCCAAAATTTAGTTGATTGGAAAATAATGCGATTTAAAAGGAATGAAAGTAAAATTATTACATTTCTTACATAAATTCACAGTACCTTTAGCTTCTATTAAACTTTTAAAATGCTTGTACATTTTCTGTTATGTAAGCTTGAAAGTGGATAGCTCACTGAAATACAAATAATTGCTATTGATTAACATGGAAACTTTTTTATTGAAATATTTTTTTCTCTGTGACATTAGTTGCATCTACTACAAATAAAGATTAAAGAACTGTTTTAAAACATTGAATTCATTGTCATATGATCTAGAAGCACGAGATTAGTGAGTTTTTATTACATTATTACAAATATAGTTTTTAACAATCAAAAATTTAGCGGAGATAATTATTTGTCAAATATGAATGCGTTTTCAAAGAGGAAATAAATAATAAGTGATAAAAGAAATTCAGTTAGAAATCACATCTCTAACAAAGTAATTTGCTTTGATAATCTTTATATACAATATATTTAAAATGATAAGGCAAAATCCAATGTGAAAGGTTATGCGAAGATTACGATAGTACCTAGAGTATTCAGCATTTCGTATATTACCAGATAATAATAATACTAAACGGAATCTGAATGAAGTTTTTTTTACAGAACAGTAAATTATGCAATTACATAACGAATACCTTTCAGACAATATTTAATAATGTTTACAAGTGCAAGCCAAAGTTGTGTTTATGGACTCGCCCTCAGCATTCTCAAGAATTCCCATCCAGGCGAAATAGTCGATTTGTCCATGACGTCAAAATTCGAAAAGTGGGGTAGGGTTTGGAAATACGCAACCTTCCCTCCTCCTATTCTAACCTCCTTGGCAAAATGTTACTTTAAAAATTTATTTATTTATGTTTGGCAACACTAAAGAATTAAAATAATGGCGGCTCCCATGTTTGTTTACCGTTTTCCGAACCGAGAAATGCTGCTTAGTCGTTTAATCATTTTTAATTACTTTAATTTTAGGCGTGTACCATTTAAATTTTTCAGCAGGATTGCTAGTGCTAAGAACTACTTTGCTATGATGCATCAGTCCTGCTATTTTAACTGTGTAATGATATTAAACATATTTTTCCTGTATACATTTATTCATGCTCTGATTTCTTTTCATCATACGAGCTTATCTTTCGCCTCTTACTTGTATACATTTATGCGAGTTTGCATGAAAATGTTGTTGCCATAGTAATGCTGAATTTTTTGTGACTGTTATATATATCTGTCAGTTGTTTCACAATATTTATTTTCGGTAGCAATGTAAATCATTAATTGCTGCTTTTTAAGAGAACATATCTGGTCAGTTCGACGCATCAAAATCACTGAAAATTTCATCAAGTGTATATGTACACAATATAGATTAAAAGTCTAGAAGATAAAGGTCTAGGTGATTTATTTAATTTAAAAAAAGTTTACAATTAAAAGTTTACAATTGGGTGCCCCTTGTTTATTGGCGATTCTTTTTTGACGCCAAGATCGGCGCCAGGAAGGCACAATTTAAAGATGACTGCTACACAAAACCAAAATAAGAAGTCAAATGCACAAGATCTGTGTCCATGTACACATCGATTGTTTTACTTAAAAAACATACTGGATTGCACAAACTAGGCATTCCACTGCTTGAATATGTCCATGTACAATCTATTTCATTTAAATAAAACGGGTGATAAAACAAAGTTAAACTAATTCGATCAACAACAAAAATCAGCGTTAATTTACAAAATTTTCACAGTTGTTTGACTTCTGAATTAGTATTTATTCGGCGTGTTATTGTGTCTTAATTAAAGTTAAAACTATTGTGGTAACCAGAAGTAAGGTTTCATCGCGAAAATTTAAAAAAATTGTCGCCAATCGAAGGGGCACCCAATTCTACACTAGAGCAAATTATATTTAATGAATTGAAATAAAGTGTGTGGCGTTTACAAACATAACTCGCAATTTAAATTTCATAATAAGGAATGGGACATGCTTAATAATTGCAGCGTTTTTAATCTCATTTACTAGGGCCATACTGTATATTTCCTACTTGTTACATTGTGGTTTGTTTGAAACTAATCCCTTCTTTTGTAAGGAAATAAAAGATAAAACAATCTGAAAATAACTGAAATGAAGTATATAAGAAACTTTTTAAGTATATGATTTTGGTCCTGATTATACATCATTCCGGATTATTGACATCCACATTAAAGATTTTTGACTGTATTTAGTTATTAATATCTCATCTGTTTGTTTAAAAAAATTTAGTGCTCTTTTTTAGTGCAATACAATTGCAGCTTAGTAGAAATGCTTTGGATATAAAAGCAAAGTAAATTGAGAATATTACAAGAAACTCGGATAAAATTAATTTGAAATGCTTTAATGTTACACATCAGGCTTTGAGATCACGCATTTCCTTTTATGATATGTTATATGTTTGGTACATTATACATTTCAGATTATGCTTTTGATATTCAAATTGATTGCTTTTGTTTTATTTTGTTATTTCAAAGCACATAATATCTTCCTAATGGAAGGGATGCTTTCGTGGAGGACCTTCTAAGCGAAAATAGCTTATATCCACTAATAGCAAATGTTCAAGTGTTCAAGTTGATAGTAAATGAGATGACATTTTATAATTTTAGACCAAAAACTTCTTTTTCCATTTAGGCCTTTCAACCACGAGTTTCACTTTTTGTATCTAGGATTTCACTTATCCAGCATTTAGCACTTCCTTATCTTTCTGAATAGTCAAACTTTTATTGTATTTTACCAGAAAGGAGTATCGCAGTGATGAATACATTAACAACTTGCATCAAAAACAAACTAATATAATTTTTGTTCTCTTTCTTTATAGTATGCTTAAAAACACAATCGGACTAAGTACATTACAGTGCTACTCAAAACTATGGAAGAAATTTTTTTGTCTTGCATAAATTTCATCTAAATATTCAAATTTGGTAATGTTCAATTAATCTCACATTCTTTAAATAATCACATTAATTTAAATTCCATCATCTATGAAAATAAAAATTCATTTTTTATCTTAATTAGTATTAGAGTTAATATTTACAGTTCAGATTCATTGTTTTCCTCCCTGTATAATAAATTTTGGAACAGTTTACTCTTAGGCTAATGCATTTTTAACAATAAATTCAAAATATAAATCTGACAAGAATCTTTCATTATCTTTTTTAGTTTAGTTAGTTATGATTTTCCCATAAATTAATACATTTTCAGTAATTAAGTTTAAAATAGAAATAAATCTGACAATTAACTTTCATTATATTTTCTAAGTGCAGTTATTTATTATTATGACATTTCCATCATTAATATTATATCTTCCAAATGGGCAGTTGGATGAGGTTTAGAAACAGTGGCAGTTTCGTCCACGGTTCTATTTCTGGCTGCTGAACAGCTGGTTACATTGAGTTTTCATGGTTATGTTTATCAATAACACGAATACTAGGCAGTTTCTCTTTGAAAGTTCTGAAGGCAGCCTTCCTCCCTCCTTTTGTGCAGAGAGCTGTACTGTATTTTGCCATAATATAATCTAATGCATTCTTTGTATTCTGATGAAAGAAAAGGAAAATGAACATGCTGGTAATAAAAATTTTCTGCTCCATTAAACTTTTTTGTTATATCCTTACAGGAAATGATTTTACATAATATTAATGGTGGTTGATTAATTGATGATGGTGATATATAGGATGGCTATTTATATTTACATGGGACATTGGCTCATATTCACATTATATACGGAGAATCATTTCCCTGCTTTTAGCCCATTCACTGCTGTCCGAACTAGGAACAAACTGTAAGTTTTCAGTGGTGACTGTTTGGCTGTATTATAGGAGTATGAGTTACAGTTGATGTTAAAATGGTTACTGCTGATGAATCCTTTTTAACATTTGGACTGCTAAGGATTTAAATATGTACTTGAGTACTTAATAACTATTATTATTAGAGTTCATTTTGTGTTATTTAATACATCTGAATATAAATTTGTTAAGGTCAGGCTGAAAATAAAGATTTTATCATATAATTGTTGTTACATCTGGCTTTTTGGAAAGATCAATCTAGACATATAAAACAGCTCAAGTATCACACAAGAACAATGTTATATAATAAAAAAGAACAAACATTTAAAGTAAGAACCATAACAAATGAACATGGGAACAAAAGTAAAATGTTAAAAATTTAAACCAGGAAAGGAACATAAGAGATGTAGTCTTTACGAGGAGTTCATGGAAGTTCTGACATTCCAGTATAGTTTGCTTATCTCACCACGTTTCTGAGACTCTATCTAGTTCTGGATATCTAAGGAGATGCTCTGCATTTATAATGCCTGAAGTACAAAGTTGGCATATACTAGATGGAAAGATGCCAATTTTATTAAGATGTTGTGCCATGCAATCATGGCCTGTTTGCCACAACCTCTTTACAAGGTTTTTGACAAAACGTTTTCCAAGTTTGAATGTTAGCCCAGGATTTGTCTGTTGATTTTGCTGCCTGGTCAGATTTAAGAGTATCCATTAATTTCTCAAAAATATTGTCATATAATTATTATACGTAATACTTTATTGTTAACTCAGGATCCATTAACTATATCATGAATGAAATGGCAGTTTCAATTTATAAAAGGCAAGGATTGTAACTCATGTTGCTGTCTTGATTTTAAAAACATTCTTTGGTTTCAAATGAAACAATCTTGTGAAATCATAAAATAAAATTAGAAGTTCAGCTTCTTGTTCAACTAGGAATCTTTGCTAAATATTAAAAATATTTTTTAAAAATAAAAATCATGCACAAACCTGGATTATTATTTTTATTATATTTTATAATATTTGCATTTTGATATAAATTCATTGATTCATTTCTAAAATTTCAGGATAAAGTTTCATGCCATTTCCATTACAGTGTGGGCAGGAATCGCCAATTTCACAAGTTTGTTAGGAAACCGAAAAGCAGTGAATCACCTATATCTCATGAAGTTTTGAAAACTCTCTTACAAGAATGCAAGTCCGTAAGTTATATAACATTTTATAGCCTTTGATATATTTAATGCATCTACAAAGTTTTAAGATTGAACTCTTTCAACCAAACCCAATGAAACTACAAAACAAATATTTTTGGCTTCATGGCAGAGGTTAGTAATACTTTTCAAGCTGCTTCCATTAAAACATTTTTCCATTTAGAGAAAGAAATTTAATGTAATTTTGTGTTTGATTTTATGCAGCTGATATATACTGTTATGGATTTAAGTATTTATCAGAGAGAAGCAAGGAAACTTTTTTGCATAATGTAAGTGCTGGTAAGTAGCTTATTATAGTTAAAAGTGTCACTGTGCATTTGTGGACACATTTCTGTTTCTGAAGTGATATCTCATCTTAAAGGATACTAGTTGAAGGACATATCAGAAGTATACACAAGGTAACAAGGGGACGAAAGGGAATTCTAAGAACTGACTTCAACAAAACAATTCAAAAGTTGTGTGAAGCATGCTGAGAGATACTATATAGTATCAGAAAGAATGTATGCAGAATGCTAAACAATTAATAAGTTGTTTTCTTTTGTATCTCAATTCAGTGCTTACATATTATCCCATTGACCATGAAACTGTTGTCAAGTAGCATGCTTTTGCTCCAATTATAGATATATATGACATCACAGTGCAGCAATAACACCTGCACTCTTGTTTGGTGTAACTCTGACTGGTTCTGAATAAGTCACTTTTGGTTTTTATGAACTAGTATATAAATTAACTATTATTGCTATATTTTCCCTTGCATTTTTGAAAGGGTGGGAAAGAAGGGCTGTAAAATCACATTTTGTAACTGCACTCTGGGTCATTTACTTATGGTTGATAGAATTAATGTCTGTTTAATGAGAAAACGAATAACCCATTAAATCAGTAATAGAACAGTCACTTGCAATAAATTTGTACTCACACCATTTTAAACAGAAGTAGCTTAGCAAAATACAGTCAAAAGTCGTTAATCTGGACTCGTCGGGACTTCGGCGATTCTGGATTATCAATTTTTACGGATTATAGATCATCAGTTTAAATCTGGTAAAATGGCATGCAGAAATTATAAAATTAAAAATATGAAACCGTAATTTATGAAATAAAGAACAATTTGATATAAGGGTATCAAAATTTAACAAAAAAAAAAAAAAAAAAAAAAAAAAAAAGCTTAAATTTATTTGTTTACTTTATTAAACATTTCTTTCAATGTAAGTTGTTTAAGTTGCTTCGTTTTTTATGTGATAATACTTTCTCTTTAATTCTATAAACAGACATAATTTCTTGTTCAGTTACAAAGTTTCGCTGTTCAAGTCCTATAATTGCTGTGTCGAGAATACCCACTAATTTGTCAATCGAAATTTTTTCATTTTCAATAACTGTCACTTTCTTCGCTATCGGAAGCGAATTATAATGACGAGGAATTTGATTTAAATCATATCAAAGACGGAGTACATGGAGATGAAATAATACATTTAGTAAGGAATTATAAGCCAAATAAAATAAAAACATCTGCCCTGAAGATAAGGATAGTGCTGACAGATCAACTTCCAATTCATTGTGCGCTGCGGCGTTAAAGCTAAACAAAAGTTTAGATAAACAAGTAAGTTACAAGGATATGCCTTTATCCATTTTTTGCAGCAATTCCACTTTTTGTTTAATGGATTCGAAACATACTTTCGCTTTGTAGATCCTTGTACATAATAGTAAATATATATCAGAAATTCTATTTGACATAATCGAAAGTTCAAGCGTACTTTTATAAAATTGCTCTAACAGGGTGCAAAAAATAATAAGCCAAATCCAATTCGAAGATTAAGGAACAACGCATGCTGCAACATTAACTGAATTAGATAATTTTAGCTTAGCTTATACCGTCCGTTATACATTAAACGCGCATTCGTAAACGTATTTTGCGCACGCGCACATGCATATTTGCAGCCGTAAAGGTCTTACGCACATACGTCGAGCGTGAACCCGACGCATGCGCAGAAAGTTTGTAGCTTTGAGGTCCGGATTATGGGTGTCCGAATTAACGACTTTTGACTGTAGTAGAAATTGAGAGCATTTTTGCAAAACATAAAAATGAAGCAGTCCGATACTTCTGCAGCAGTGGCTATTTGTTGGATTGTGCAGGTAGAATGATGAATGTTTTACTGTATGGTTGTTAACTTTCACAGTTCATGGGATATAATACATAACTACTCCTCAAATTTTCCTGAATTCTGTCCTAAACTTTGGAAATACATTGCATGAAAATTTCCTAGTATATACATCCTGGGGGGATTTTTTAAATTAAAAATATTCTGCTTTCCTGAAATTTACTATTTAAATGTTTATGTTTTTACTGAATTACTATTTTATTCTTATGTTTTTACTGAATAGCTAGAAAGTCAAGCAGAACACTGAAAAATATATATTTAATATCGTCTTTTCCCCATTTTTGTATCCTTCAGTTTTTATACCCTATTTTACTGAAAAATATTATATGTTATGCAATAAGTTTGTGAGATCATTGCTGCTCCATATATGTAGTGTAATAATTACTAATTCATTATATATATATATATATAAAAACAACTTATATATAGTGTTAAAAAGGAAAAAAAAAAAAAAAGAGCTGGCATATAATTTCAAAGCAAAATGTACCTTTATTTTTGTATCGCTTATAAGAATAATTTAGCTGGTATTATCTGAAAATCAGTAGCAAGGAGCCAGCCCATGTCTCTTACGTCTTACCTCTTCAATAAGATTGGAGTATGGAAAATTAATGGGCCTAATGCAGTGAGATGTATTGAAAGGTCAAAGATTAAGAGAATCAAAATGAATGTGATAAATTAAATAACAATAAATGAATTCAGTGAAATTTTGGTTAAAAAATCTTATAAAAATCAGAGTGACTGAATTCAGCTAATTGAAAATTGAAACTATAAAATATCACCTGCTCATTAGTTATGCTTATTAAAAAGCAGGTAATAAAGACAACATGAGATAAAATAATGTAATAAAAAGTAAATAATGTCATGCAAAGTTGTCTTTCATTCCCATAATTAAATTTCTTCATAATAATATTCTAAAAACAGTAATAAACTTTTAAAGCATGTTAAATGTCACTACTTTCATATAAACTAGCAACTTTGATAGTTGTACACTCCACACGAGAAAAGAAGAGACATTTCTATATCTTCCATTCTGTTGGAACATTTTTTGTTTGACAAAATGAAGTTTAGGATATATGTTAGATTTATATTCAACATTGTTCTAATACAGGTATTTTGGCACAAAATTTTCTGAAGTGACATACTGATTTCTTTTCATATTTTGATTCTGTGACAAAGCAGTGGCGTAGCGAGGGGGGGGGGCAAGGGGTGTATGATGCTCTGGGTGCCGCTCGCAGAGGGGTGCCAAATGGTCTCCAAACAAGATTTGCATCATATTACTGTGCTTTTTTCACGGGGCGCCAAAAAGGTATTTTGTCCCATTTTGCTCGCTAATCCACTGTGCCAAAGTGCCACATTTTATCAAAAAATTACATGAGTAGGTTTTAAAAAGTTAGCTCTCAAAATTTAGTATACATTTATTAATAAAGCCAAGTGTGGTTTACAGATCTAAAAATTACAAATATGATTAAAAAATAGAATACACAGAAAATTATATGACATAATGAACAATGCACCATTTTTCCCACTTGTACAATAAAAGGATAAGGAAAGTAGGCTATCATAAATTAAGAATTTTGTCAAGTGAATTATTCTTGAAAACACAAACTAAAAACGTGTGGCATGATAAATTTTTAAATTTCTCTGTATGTTTCTCATCAAATTTTACAGAATTTAATGTTTGAGTTGTAGCATCGGAATACAGAAAAAAATTGACATGCCATTTCAGAAAAAACCAAATTTTGTGTCAAAATATCTAAGTAGAATAATACAGTAATAGAGAAAATAAAGGAAATTATCTCCTAGGGAACTAGGACATTCAAAGTGAAATTTAGAAGCCCTGAATAAATTTTGAAATTCACTAATTTTAAGATTTTCTTTTCTTTTCTTTTTCATTTTTTGCTTATTTAGTAGCTATATTAGAACAATATTGTATATAAATCTGCTATACATCTGAAGTCATGCTTTTAAGACATAAAAAATGCAAATTAAATTTCATCAGTCAGCTCAGTAAAATGGGAAATATAGAACTCTCTCACTCTTTTATTTATTTATTTTTTAGGTGCAGTGTTTACCTATTTTTTTCGAAAATTTTGCATTGATAACTGCAGTAATTATTGCAATAAATGTATGCAAACATGAAAATAGCACCTGTAAGAATTTTATGTAATATAGCTTTAAAATTTAGCTTCATTTTCAGAATATTATTTTTATGCTTATTTTGGGTACATAAATTCTTTTGTGTATTTTTTATCAACTATTAATTTGTAATATGCTACTTTGTTTAAAATTTTTATTTAAATTTAACTCAAGGCTTTATAGTAATAATAACATAAATGTTTTTATTTATTTATTCATTAATCAGTAAAAAGTGTTTGCTTTAGCTGTTCTTGAAAATCACAACTGTATGAAAGCCTGAAGGATAGTTTGAAAATTAAAGGGTATTAATCTAAGTAAATCCTTATTTTGCCGATGAAAAGATAACAATGCCAGGCATTGCTGAAATTATTTCTCGTGTTCCAAACAAGTGTGATCAAATGAAACAAACAGTCAAAAACAATAAAAGCTATATCAGCCCAAGTCATTCTTAAGGTAAAATCCAGAGCATTTTGTGGAAAGTTGTTGCTAATGCTCACTTGTGTGACATATAGTCAACCCAAGCCCACAAAATTCCTTGTGGCAAGGAGCACAAGATATGCCTGTCGTTGGCAACAGCCTTGAGTACCCTATAGGTAACAGTGCGATTTAGCTCAGTTCTGCCCCGAGTTTTGATGGACAGCACCCTGGGAAGGGGACGAGTCCCAAGGTTTCTCACCTCTCACCCTGCCACCAAACTCTCAAGAGGACTTTCGGCTTGCCGCATATTTAGAGTGCCCCTGCTGCACAGACACTATACATTACAAACATCCATGCATTCTCCAAAATTCGAACCCGGGCCTTTCAACACAGCAGTCTGCAATGCTAACTGCCATACTGGCTGGGCGGCTGTTTGTAGAAAGTAAAGTAAATATGAAAAACAAAGATGGAATAGTCGATGACCATGGTAAAGCACTGTAATGTTGTAGATAATTTGTTAACATTATTTAGTAAGTAAATTTACTTATTTATCATATTTTCTAAAATAATAACAACATGGCTTTCAAACAATAAAGGCCCACCAGCGGCCAAGCGGTAAAGTCGCTGAACACTGGTAGTTCTGTCCGAGGTTCGAATCCTGCGAATGGGCTGACTGCATGGGCGTTTTCATCGTTTTCCCCATGTGTAACGTGTATACGAGCCAGTTTCCCTTAGAAAGTCCTCCACGAAGGCATCCCTCCCCTTAGGCAGATAGCCCTAGTGTGCTTTGCCATAATTAAATAAACCAACTCATAAACCATTCAAACAATAGAATATAGCATATTTTGGTACTTTTTTGCCATATATTTTCAGTGCCATATTGCTGCATTTTAGCTTATTTCTTTCCTTATGCCTTCGCTTGATTTTAGATAGAATAGGATGATAGGAAATAGAAATAAGTAGCGATCTTCTAATTTCAGGACAAAATCCTCCAATAATACATAGTTGAGGAAAGAATATGGCTTATGTTATTTTTCCTTTTAGTGAATAAACTTTCATCAGTTTTCAGAGTTTTATAGCATCCATTATTTTTAACATTACAACAAGAAACTGGCACATACTATTGTAATTATTCCAGTCAACCATTATGTTGTGATTTATCTGAACTAAGTTTTGATTTGTAAAATTCAATAGACATTAACTTCTGTCACTATTAGTAAACTTTTTTTTATTTCACTGTTATTTTCTAAATGTGCACAGCAATCTCTTTTCAACATCAGAATACTGCACAAACTTGGCATCATGCAACATCAGTATTGCACGCTGGCTAAAACAGACATGTACTGCGTGTATACCTGGGTTGTCATAGAATTAATTTGGTGATATCATAAATATATTTTCATGACTTTTTGATGGTGGTGGGGAAAGGGTGTGGATAATCAGAAAATGCTGATAATTATTGCCAAACGAAAGTGAAACCAAACTGATGATACCTAACATTGAGGAAATAATAAAAAACTTCAAAAAAAGGAAGGGGAGAGGGACAAATAGTGTGGCTTTAATGGAAAATGGTATTTATGTATTATCCCACTGACTGTGAAATTTTTTCAAAGTAGCAACAATTATGGTTAAGTGTCATGTCATAACACACTCATTAACATCTGTGGGTTTTTTTTGTCAACCTAGTTGGTTTCTGATAAACCACATCACATTTGTGACTATATTTCATTTCATTTACAGCTAGTTGAGAGATTTAACATCTATTAAATGATTAAAAGAATAGCTGATAAAACCTGTAGCTGAGTTTCAACTTTTAAACAGAGCATCTGGTAAAATTAGAGAATTTAACAAAACACTGAAAGTTTATAAAATACTTTATTCGAAATGCAAAAAACAAAGCGGGTCGAATACTTACACAGCAATGGCTGTTTAGTGGATGCATAGAGACTGATGAATATTTTATTGTAATAGTTTCAGATAGAAGTGTGGCTCAGAATTTCCAAGAACTATTCATGCAACTTTGAAGGAATCCCAGCCAATTGGCATGATTCATGGTTGATGGGATAATACGCAAGTACCTGGGAAAATAACAAGATTTTTACCAAAATAAAATTAAAAGGCCTGTGTGAATTTTATTATCTTAAATTTATCGAGTATTAAATAGTATATTGTATGCTATTCATTTAAAACCTCTGTTTAGTTTATCCTTTTATTATACCCATAGCATTGATTTTACAAGATCACTTTCAGATTATCTACATTTTTCGGTTGTATGTGTATACTCATACATGCATTAGTTTGTTAGTATGTGTATACTCATACATGCGTTAGTTTGTTATGAGTATGCACATACATGTTTAGCAGGTATGTATAATTAGCATGTATATTTGAATGTTCAGTGTAGGTTTTTAATTTACCTTTTAGGTTGCTGACCAAATTGAAGTCTTTCAGTCATATGTGAAGCTAGATCATGAAGATAAAGCTCTTCGTTATTCTGTATGTCATGAACTAGAAAACATTCTCAGACCTTATTTTCCCAGATGTTCTATTCATCTTGTTGGATCTAGTGTAAATGGTTTTGGGGTAAAAGGGTGTGATATTGATTTATCATTACAATTTTCTAATTTAGAGAATGAAGAGGTAAGTCTTATTCTCTCTCCTTTTCCAATCTGTCATTTGAAAAAAATTTGTTTTACAGGATGTTAAAAAAGATGATACGTTTAAATGTCCCTTTTACTACTGGTCATAGGCCAATATTCCAAGTTTAAACGCTTGCCTGATTATCCCGAGTTATCCAGGGTTCGTATATATTGCAGTTAATTATTATCCCGAGAAAACTCGGGCAAAGCAGAATTTGTCAATAGGATTTGTTTTATCACATTTTTACTCGGCCTGGAGGAAATGAAAGGAAATATCCATCTTTTATTGGTAGTTCGCCAACTATTGTTGGTTTCATGGTTCTTTTGGCAGGACTGGTCATGTGTTTTCCATATTTTCTAGTATACATCGGCTTGTGGATTAGTAATGTATAAAGAATGATAGATGCCTTGAAAAAAAGTAAAATAATGGTGATGTTGCAAGATAGCAAAAGCGATGATTTTTCAGAATGTTATTCCTGCTACTGAAAAAAAATCAAATCCAATGAGACAGTGTTCTCTGTGCTTCCTTAAAAGATTCCAGAGGTAAGCCAGTAAGAAAAGAGACCAGATACCAGTGTATAGAATGTCAGGTATCACTTTGTGTTGTCATTTGTTTCACAAACTCTCATACAGCGATTAATATTTAATTTTTTTATTTGCCCGAGATAACTCGGGATAGCAAACTAATATTAAAACTAAATGCTTTACCTGTAAAAAATTAAAAATTCAATTTAAAACCTACATATTTTGTTTTATTTCGTTTTCTTGTATTTAATAATAAAGTAAAAAAAGTGATGATTTTTTCCAATTTTTTTCCAAAAAAATGTGTAAGGGAAGCAGTTAACCCGGCAGAAGGTGCGCACCCAACACTGACGTTGGAGATCGTGTGGGGTGACAGTGTCACCCCAATCAGTTTCATTAGGAAAATGTATTATATATTTTATAGAAATCATTTGATTATAAACAATAACTGCAATATTTCATTTAGAAACTATACTTCTTTACTTAAAAACTTATTTCAATATTTAAGAAAAAAAGTCCATTCAAAATAAGTATATACCTTATCAGGAGTCAGAAGCTAACATACACTTCTGGCAAACATAGGAAGAATGAATTTTACATGAAAAATTATCACATATTTTGCAAGAAATTGTAGTTTTATTGTCTTTGGATCTTGGACACATAGCACGTCGGCCTTTGTCGAGTTTTGGTTCATTTAATGGGCTTTCTTCTGATACACTAGAAGTCGCATTATCGATGCTTTCATGAACCACTTTAGGAAACATTGACATATTTTTTGTAATCTCTATGTAAGGTGCTGTATAAGAGATATAGCCAAATTTTTTAGGAATTTTCTACTATTCCCATATTGTTAAGGGAGGGGTCTTTGTCGGGAATAAATCAACTCGGGTATTTATTGCAGTGACGTTCAACACAGTAAAAGACGACCATCGGCCATCTGTTGGTTTTTCGAGATGTCGAATATAACGATAACATTTCATCAACTTTATCTACACACCACCTTTTGTTGCATTATGAAAGTAAAATTATTTTGGTTTCTTCATATCATCACTTTTATCAATGGCATCATCGCAATGCATTGTAGATATAACAAAACTACACATTTTGATTTTTTAGGTACATACGATACTATTGTCGCGTTCTTTTAGAACCCAAATATAGATAAATAACTGTTCTTAGTTTTTGTTTGGACGAACTTGGTGGGAATTTCAGCCTTGTTTCTGTTCAGGGTTCCTACAATAGTTAACTTCTTTGACAAAAGTTCTTTTGCTAGAGGATAACTCGTATACCAATTATCCATTGTTACATTTCTGCCCAAACAAAGGGGTGTACAGGTGTTTTGTAATTTCAAATGAATTTTCAAATTTAAAAGGACCTTCCGACTGTTGTCTTGCGTATATCTCCATGTTATAGCTGCAGAAAGTTCTTGAATCTACTAAGGCAAATATTTTGATTCCATACTTTGATGGGTTACTGGGTATATATTGACGAAAGGAACACCGCCCTCGAAATTTCTCTAATTTTTCTTTGATAGTAACATATTTACCAATAAGGTATATCTTTTGGCAATTTTCATTGAAATCGGTAAAAATTCTCTCGCAGCCGCCAGTTTGTCCAATTTTTTTCCGAGCTTCACGATTGGTCACATTGTCTAACCGTAGACACCTGAGAAGAAATTTAAATCTTTTATAAGGCACTGTGTTCCATAAAATTGCAATGCCTGTTTCAATTTTCAGTAGCCCACAAATCATGCGTATTTTTATGTGACGATTTACGCAAGCCATACAGATGTAAAAGCCCAAAAAGTGCTCTAATTTCCACATCATTTGTCGTAATATTTTTTCAATATAAATATTTGTACACTCTACAATGGATTGTATCATTTTAGCATTGAAAAACAATTCTCAACTTTTTGGAAGCTTCGTTATATTGCATGCAGTTTCTTTTAATCCTGCTAAATGAGTTATTATAATTTGAGAAGACCTTTTTCACATTTTGATTTGGTTTTCCATTCCGCCAAACTCTTATTTTTGCTGTTAAAAATACTTTTTATTAAATCAGGATTTCCGTCGTCTTCATCATTCTGCTCAAATTCTCTTTCGCTGTTGTGAGAACTGCATATTTCTTTATCAGATTAATTTGTACTATCTTGATCAATTTCTCCTTCAGAAGACTCAACTTCATCTAATACAGTTCTCAAACGTTCCATCTCTTTTTAATGTTCAGTAAATTTACGTTTGTAAACCATTATCTATCAAATAATCCAACAAAACCACAACGGCAACACTCGAGAGCACGAAGCTAAACTTCTACTAATGAAAGATTTCGAAGCAGTAACGGTCGCACGGGGTGACTCAGTCACCCCATTCCATCATGGATTCCAAGAAACGATTGCTTCTCTCGCAGAAAAGAAAAACAAGCAAAAATAACAATACACATTCCAAGGGGAGTGTCAAACACGAGGATACTAAAAGGATGATTCATTAAAATGAAATATTTCCGGTTAGGATTGTTGATTTTTGACGCATGGGGGTGACTCTGTGCCTCGCGCGACTTCTCCCGGGTTAATAAAAGAATCAGATAAGTTTTTAGACTCTAGCAGTTTTGGTCACAACACTTTTTGGTAAAAATTAGGATTTTTATACTGGTCTTCTAAGAAAAATGTTCTCTTTATTTTGTTTTTAGATATTCCATTTAATTAGTCATTTATCTGCTTAAAAATTTTAGATAAAATATCAGTTCCGTCATATGCACAACTGGTCTGAGAAGGCTGTTAAAATTATATGATCTAAACCACATTCCTCTGATGTGAAAATTTTAGGTTTACGAGTTGTATAAAGAGAAATTTTACGATATATGCTGTTTTGAATTTTAACATCTCTATGATTAAGTACTTGCCTATGTATTAATGTTTGTTTGTTGTTAAAAGTATGTGTTAGAAATTTGCATCTGAAAATTTATTATAGATAAATCTTTTTAGCAGTACTTATATACAGTCATTGAAAAGTTCTCACGTGGTTTACATCATATGAGGATATTTCATTTCTTCTTTCTCTTTCTGTTTTTCACTCTTTGATATGATAACTTTCGCTATAAAAAAACATTTTACATACTGATATTTCTTTCCTGAGGAGCCCATGTAAGAATTTTAAGTTTCTCTTGTTAGGTATTGAGTGATGAAAATTGTTAAAGTCTGATTTTTTTTAAAATTGATTCTCTTTGGAACCATGCATCTCTGACTAACTATTTAAGTGATATTTTGTCATGTAGTCATATTCAGATGCCTTACATATCTTAGAACAAGCTATAACTATTCAAGTGATATTTTGTCATGAAGTCATATTCAAGTGCCTTACATATCTTAGAATAAGCTATAAAAATCACTGATTGTTTTTTGTGCCATTTTGTAGGCTGTGATTAATACTTATTTATTATTTTATATATATATTTTTAAAATTTACTTTATTCACATTTATTAACAGTGTTCAGTTGCTGTGAACTGTCATCTGTAGTGGCCTTGGTGATAAGAAACACCACTGGTGCAGTTAGGGCTCGGGAAAGTGTGACTTTTTGATAAATGTTATAAACATCCATGAAAACAAAATTGACTATCGTAAATAATAAATCACCAATTCATTCAATATATCAAACGTGCTTTATTTAATACATTACAAAGTCTTTAATCCAGATGTCCATAATCCGGAATTATCTATAATCCGGACCTCAAAGCTACAAACTTTCTGCACATGCGCATATGCGTTTACGCTTGCACATAACACATTTATGCTTGTGCATATGCATTTACGCATGCGCATAATACATTTACGCATGTTCGTTTAATGTATAATGGATGGTATAAGCTAGGCTAAAATTTCTAATTATCTATTTCAGTTAATGTTGCAGATTTCGCTGTTTCTTAATCTTCTAATTGGATCCGGCTTATTATTTTTTGCAGACTGTTAGAGCAGTCTATAAAAATTAAGCTTGAACTTTTGATTATGTCAAAAAGAGTTTCCAATTCTGGAGCTGCCAAAGGATCTACGAAGCGAAAGCATGTTTCAATGTCCATCAAGCAAAAAGTGGAATTGCTGCAAAAAATGGATAAAGGTACGAAGAAAGACAGAGAGGTTAGTGAAAACGGAAAAATTTTGATTGACAAATTAGTCGGTATTCTCAGCACAGCAATTACAGAACTTGAACAGCGGAACTTTGTAACTGAACAAGAAATTATGTCTGTTTATAGAATTAAAGAGAAAGTATTAGCACATAAAATGAAGCAACTTAAACAACTTACATTGAAAGAAATGTTTAATAAAGTAAACAAATAAGTACTAAGCCTTTTTTTTTTTTGTTGTAAATTTTGATACCCTTTAGATCATAATTGCTCTTTATTTCATAAATTACGGTTTCATATTTTTAATTTTATAATTTCTGCATCTTACCAGATTTAAATTGATGATCTGTAATCCGGAAAAACCC